GACGCGATGTTAAAGAACAACAAATCCATCATTGTACTGCAGACACAACAGTCGGTCTGGTCGAGAGTCGGGTACGCCAGCAGGGATTTCGAGGTATCAAATTCCAGTGCGACGTTAGTTATAAGCTGCGTGACAAAAAACTGCGTTAAAATCCGTCTAATTTTGCGGGTCTCCAAAATCATGTCGCTGAGGCACTCCCCCCCCCGCTCGCCGCTTTGATTTTAAAAGCGATTTAAACAAACCAAGTCCCATATTATTTTAACTCTAGGCTACACTGCCGATACATTTCACGTAGTTCATTATTTAGAATAATATTTATGTGGCTCTTTACATATAGCAGAATCTAATACATTTGTGTACAGAATGTGAAATCGGTCAAACAGTATGCAACAGCAGCCACGCAAACACTGTGACACCCGAAAAATGGAAATCACTCGGATGGTTGACCAGTACCGACGTTTCGGTTCGTGTCTCACAGACCTTCTTCAAGGCAATGAGGCTGGCTGAGTGGCATCAGAAGTCCTGCTGTCGTTCGCAGTGATCAACAGGATTAGAGTCAGATGGCCTTCTAAAGACAGGACTTTCGAAGTCAATCAATCAGCCTCCTAGAAGACCCGTAACACACGTAAGATCGAAACGTAACCTTACTTAAAATAGATTAAGATGAACCGTGAAGTGTTCGGTCACGCTTCTTGAAAACAGAACAAAATATCGCAACTCAGAGAGTTAGACATCAGATGCCAAAGTCGGTGCCAATGACTTCCCTCATATCAGTGACTAGTCTCAATTAATAAACAACCTGCAGAATAAGTCAAACTTGGTGCTACTGCGCCTCTTCCACCTTCCCTCACCCGCCTGCTTTTATGTCATAGAAGTTCTACAAATCGCTTAAGCGCCCGATGGAAGAAAGACTGGATATTGATGGCAAAATACTTCTATAAATCCAATAAACGAAACCTGTAACTCAAACTCAACGACCCAGCGCCCTGTTATCTCAAAAGCTTCCGAATAAATTTATTTTTTTCAGATGGCGTAGCAGCTGCTTCATGGTAGCGTTTCCGATGATCCACATCCGTAACCAAACAGGCAAGTTCTATGGTCTCGACTGCAGATGCGACCGTACCAGATCAAGATCCATCATGCAGACCGATGCTTGCAGATGATGTGCCGTTTGAAAAGTAAGGTAACTAACTACAACAGGCGAACTTAATGAAAATGTCTGTGAGATCCGAGAGGGAAATCTACCAACACTGGAAAATCCTCTGTTCAGAAGGTAAGAAGTATAATCTACAATCCATCTTTCGGTCTTGTGTGATATTCGTCACCATTAATGATGTTCAGTTTTGATTATTGAAAGTCTGACGATACTGTTCAGACGAAGTCGTTTTTCCAGCATCTTCGTTGTCCACTCGATCTCTATTCCTATATCTAGCCTTATACAGCTTCCTTTTTCAGTTTTCATACAGTCTCAATTGTTTTTCATGACGTAGATAAAATACCATAGTTTTCGATTCTCTAGTTCAATAGCGATGGTTGAGAGCCGACGGTTTTAAAACTCATTCAGTTGCTTTAAAATACTTCTAAAAGATCCACAGAAGTCGTCTGTTGTAATACATGTCAAATGCTTCGCCGGATTCGCGGCCACTGATTGTACTACTTTTACATTCGTGACCAGCCGCCGACCATTAAGTGCTTAAGAAGTCTCCAGGCTGACGATTTTTCCACTGGCTATAATCTCCAAAGGGTTTACATAGCATGTAAAGTTTGCGAAACAAAATCCCAACGTTTTTTCGGATCGAACTGGATCCATCCTAAGGGGACATAATACAAGTAGAGCAGATAACAAGTACAATAGACAAAATTTCCAATGCCGTTATATACTGTACAATAATGCTAAGATCGTGCAGATACAATCGACGGATTGTTAATAAGTACTGCAGCGGAAGCTGAGCAAGCTTAGGTGTAATTCCATGTTTCTCATGTTGAAATTTAATTTTACCCTCGTTAAATCTGTCGTGCAATCTCTTGCCATTAATATTCTCTGAAGAATATCCGTTTAGCAGTCAATACTTCCATTCAAGATGGAAACAAGTACGTGAAAGATGGCACTTGCTGAAACTTAATACCATTTAAGGAAATTCAAGTTAGGATGTGTTTTGGTCACGTGGACTTCACAGGTTTGTGATATTCTCGTCTCTTCCAATTCAAACCATCCAACAACAGATGCATGGCGACTTCATTTCATCAGTCAAATGAAGCAAAAGATAAGGAACTGTGTTAACGCTTGCCCCTCTGTTAACGGGGGAACACTCGAAGAAAAGGCTCACTACTAACAGCGCCGTCTGAGACCTGCTTCCCAGTTCTCGAAACAGTAGAAACAACGGCAGAAATGCACAACGGCATGAACATAAATACAACGAATGCAAGACATTCAAAGGAATCCACCTCTGGTACCTCGAATTAAGAGTAGATAGACCCGCCTACAACCTCGATTACATAAGCCGCAGAGACGGCATAAATACGAGTATCGTCTAGCGTCTAGTAGTTTCGGTTGCCAGATTAATATTTTGATCGAAGAAAAGAAAAATCGCTTTCCATAAACATGCAATTATATGTTACGCAAGTCAGGCTAGCGAATTTGCAATAAAAACCAAAACCTCAAATAATGAACTGCATATATAGCAGCACTGACCATAATGCATAATAAACGTTAAACGGAAGTACTAAACAAAGCATGACTATTCTCTCTTGGTCATATGTATCTGCAGGAGAGCTGGAAATTACAAGAAAAGAAAGTTGACCCTGTTAAGCAAATCGACTGAGCATTAAGCTTTCCGTTCAGACCACGAGCTTCGCGTGCAGGTACCGAAATGCAATGAATGTGCACCACAAAGCCGATATCCAACCGCATGGAAAAGAATACGCAAATATGCGCTCGGAAAACTGTTCCTTTAACAATGCTGTAACCGCTCTTTCATAGTGAAAGTATCAGTAAGCCGGAACTCAGTTGTCATCAGAAACCGTACACGCATTCTACAACTTCTACAGTCTGCTCATCATTAATTAAGACGATTACGACAAATAACACATGAATAACAACCTCGACGCGATCTTCTTACAATCAGAGACAAGGAGGTAGTACAATTCGTCACCACTCGCCTGAAAGTTTGAACAAAGGACGTTGCCAGAAAAAACCTTATCTGTGCATATACGCATAGATCTGATGTTATTCAATTCCAATCGATCATCATTTTTAATTGAAAAGCGAAAAGATATTCAGAGAGCGAAACAGTCTTCGAATTCCCTGATACAAGCTTCAGCCTACGTTTGCTGACCGGGCTTGCTCAGTCGGCTGAGAGTCGGTCGGACTCAGAACCGAGAGTAACCAGGTTCGAATTTCGGTCAAATCACTCGTGCTTCTTCCTTT